ATATATATATATATATATATATATATATATATATATATATATATACCTTGGTCCCCGAAAAATGGTCACGGGGGCCCTGATTTTCACTATACTATATAGCATGAGGTTAAATGTGTCTTATAACTACGGCTACCATTGGTCCACTAGGAATATCCGTTAACTACTACATTCTTTATTTTGAATATTTAAGCCTTTGCATTACTATTATTATTATTATTATTATTATTATTAAATTGTATTCATTATATTTTGTTAATGCATCCTTTACATACATTATAGCATGGCATGATAACTCTCTAAAAAAGATCCGGAATCCATTATATTTGTTTATTTTCGATATGAATAATCAATTATTTTAATTATTTAAGTATAGTTAGATAATTATGTGCAAGATAGTATAATAAATAGTCTAAATATCAAAATGCACGCCATCGTATCGGGATTCAATATTTTGACATTAATTATGTCATCATCAGGAATTAAAAATTATCCATATTTGCAATCTTATATGCACAAGTACCTAAAGTGTTTGACCAATCAAAACATTACCCCTAGTAGGTGACATAGCTATGAATAAATCAAAGCTACCTACAAAAACAAAGAAACTTCCGTTGAAGCTTTCAGCTCAATTTTAAGCAATGGCTGTAGCCTACGTATAGCAAACACTTCTTTAAACAATAGTATAGACCAATTTTGCGAACTGTCAATAATATTAGTACAGTATTAGAACATATTAAACCTAATTTATTACTTACATTATAGGCTACATTACCATTTTCAAGTATACCTTGTAAACCTAAAACATTATTGGAATGCCTCACAATTGTGTATATGATCATTTATAACACTATCAGATCATGAAGATATGTTATTTAAGTCTAGTTATTAAGCATCTATATGTATCTACCAATATAATCACTATTACAACCTGGACATTTAAAATGATAAACAACAGAGCTCCTATATTTCTTAGGGGTTTGATAATGTTATGAATTTTACCTCTTTAAGTGTTTCTTTATACTTTGTTTAAGCATCTACGTAAAATAGATTCACCAGCCTTTCCTAGATAAGGCAATCTAACCCAGATCTTAATCAAGCTATCATCAGTAGGGCTATGTATACATTTAGGTTCATTTAATTTATTGAGTACATGGTTAATAACTTTTATAGGGTACCCATTCCATGACATAAATTTTTTTATGTTACAAAATTCTGCTTGAAGTTTATCGGGAGTACACAGTTTGTTATTATGTGTATGTAATGTTTTTTTTTTTATATAAAATGTATAATAAAATGTTGTTTTTTTATAATGTTATGTTTCTTTTAGATGACTTGATTTTGGAACTGATAAAACAAGCACTGTTCCCTGATAAAACTGATATGTTGATATTATTTTGGAGATTCTTCATGATGTTGTATACGTTTTATTTTGACTTTTCGTTTTTGACAACACAATTTAATGACAAATGCAGTCATGCTGGTGTGTCCCTTAAAATATTATACTGTAGTAGATTTGTGGCAACTCCTATCTTCAATCATCTCTTTTCAGGATTGTAATTTGATCAGTTTGAAATTTATCAAAAAGTATCAAAAAAGAACATGCCATTATTATCAAAGATCCATGTACATTTAGTAACGTACATTTTTGAAAAATGTACTTTAATCTTGAACTTGTTTATTTAAAATTTCCGTAAATGTTAAATGAGTCCAAGTAACTTTGTGCCATCTCGTAGCAAAGTTCATACTGATCCTGTTGCAAGAAAATGAAAAAAAAAATTATATTAAATATTAATTACTATCTTAAATGACAGTAATTAAATTACATATTAAATATTTAAATGCGAATAATTAAATAATTACCTTTGATTTGAACATCCATGGGCAACTAATTTTAATCTTTTTGACATTCTGAAAGACGTCAATAATTGATTCCTCATTTATCATTTGAATGATCATGTCCATTGCACAGAAAGATCCGCTACGGCTTCTACCATCCCTGTTAATGCAAATCAAAGTGGTTTCATTAGAATGTGGACATTAATTAATTATTATTAATTATTTCTATTATTAAACATGACGCCAATAAAAATTGCATTTGAATTTTTAGCGAGTTAAAATACACGATGTTCTCTCTGTAATACTGTACTTTTTTGCTGTACTGTACTTTTTTGCTGTTTATGCTTCTTTTTCTATTTTAAATACAATTATCAAAGAATCTTGTTCAGTTATGAATGATGTACCCTCTGTATGAGAATACTCACAAGCAATGAATGACCATTATGCTATCGGGATTAATTCGCTGAGCCTTTTCAACATCAGAACGCAATTGAAAGAATGATTCCATGGATGGAGGCTTTTGTAAATCTTTGGGCCAGTCGAGATATTGAAAATGGTGGATTTCCCGTGGTTTTTCATTATCCTTTAAAATAAAAATGTATTATTAGGTTTTATAATAATTTCATCATGTACTTGTCAGATATTGTAGTACGAGAAAGTAAAATACGAATTTGTATTGATGAGGAAGGCATGATGGTAATGGCAATGAAAATGGTAATAATGATGGTATTATGGCAATAATGACGGTGAAGGTAATGACGATAGTAATAATAATGAAGCTTAATAAAAAGATCCTCGTACCGTACAACAAACATTATTACCTTTGATAACAGCAATGTTCGTTTTATAACATAATTACATTCTTTTACACTCTCAACTTCAATAGCAAATGGGCCCATCCTCACTTCGACTTTGAGATCAAGGGGAATATACATGCCAATAGTCTAAAAAGAAACAATGATGATAGTTTAATCAGCCTTTGCCTGTTATTGTATTTTTGTGGATAGAGTTGAAATATAAATTAATCAATAACATTAATTACCATTAACATGAGCTAACATTAATTATTTATGCTCTTCGCATAGAACATAGGTTAAAAACCCATCCAATTAACAACCACTTTTCTGAGGTCCCAAATTGATTTAAAAAAAAAGAGAAACGATAATAGGCAAAGAAAAGAAAAGAAAGACAAGGAAAAGACAGTAAAAAGTAAAAATAATATAAGAAAGGAAAAAGAAAATATAGAAACATAAACAAGCAAAGGAAAGTCAAGAAACCTACATAAAGGGTATGAGCAAAGATACTAGAAATACAAGATAGAGTTCTCCACACAAAAAAAGTGTTCCACCGTGTTCCACCGAAATGCATGGTGGGAATATGAAAAATGGGACGCCCCCTAAAGCTGGATCTAAAAAAACTTGTGCCAAACTTTCGTTACCAAGTCGTCGCGTATTTTATTATGAATTCTCAACAAAGAGACAGTGACATCGGTGAATACATAACCTCCTTGGTGGCGGTAGAAATCGTTGCTATTATCCAAATAATACACAAAACAATTAAAGCACAATCATGAATCAGTAAAGAATAAAACAACAATATAGCGCAGAATCGCATGGCCGGACGCACTCTTAGTGAAAAAGTTTTCCTCCATTAGTGGAAAAGGAAGGGCGCCTTTTGCGTCTGGATATACTTAGCAACAGAAGGGCGCCCTGTACGTTGGGCACGAAGTATAGGAAACTTGCAAGGTTAAATAGAAGGGCGCCGCCTACAGTGGGCACGACTTCCGCCTCATTTTTACAATGCGAGAACTAATTTTAGAAAGACCGAGACGATTGGTTTTTCTTTTTCTATTACTTGTATTATACTGTATTTGTATAATGAATGTAATTAAATATATGGTTAAATTATATTAGGCTTAGCATTGTTTGATTTTACTCCGGATTCCCTTTTTGTTTTGTACAGTTGCAACTTGTCAGCTATTTAGAACTTCATTATTATCATACAATTTTAGATTTGATTTCACTAGGTTTGTCAGCAAGGCAATGTTATAACTATTGTTATTGTTGGTATTGTTATTTTTATACTTTATCTACCTGCTCATGACAAGTGACTTACCTTGTCATCTGCATCCTCAACGTTCAGCATTACAATTGTGTATAATCTGTAGTCATAGATCATTCTCCAGAAATCAGACACGGTGTTTGTCATCGGCGCCTGTGTCACTAAATATTTATCACCCCGTTGTCCGTAGCCCTAGAAATAACCAAACTTCTTATGTTTACATATGTGTAGTAATCTTAATGAATTAATTTATGGTAAATTTATCGGCAATAAAAGAAATTCAGTAAACATGTTGGTTTTTTCGATGACCATGGATACAATCCTAATAATGCTTCATAATCCATTTCTTTTTATCTAGTAAACTATTTCAACTACAGTACTCACTTTACAGAATGAAGCATTTATGTAATTGTTTCTATCTCCATCTGTAGTCATTAGTAAGGGTCTTGCATTGTCCACTAAATATAAAAAAAATATACTCAGCATTGTAATTAGCTATTACCATTAGTAGGCCTATAATCAGCGTACAGTATACTGTAGTTAATCATCTTCTGTGATTGTGTGAGATGTATATTTACGTACTTATATTTCTGTAATGATGTGTTATTTTATTCTTTCACCATATTTCAGATTTTATCACTGTTTGATCTTCCCAGTTTTCTTATATAAATCAAAATGTTGAACGGTATATCTAGTGCGCATGTAAAATTTTGGCAGCGCACTTTTACCATCTATTTTTCTGCTTTATTAGATATATATAATATTTATTTGAAGTGTGACGTATAATATTTGTTATATAACCCTAGTATAAGTTTGAACAGGACTATATTAAAAACAGCCACCTGATATGTTTTAATCCTGTATAAATATGTTTGAAATGAAAAAAAAAAAAAAATAAACACTTTCAGTTGTGTACAATGCTTGTTTCTATCATACTTGGAACTATACGTGGATATCTATTCTTTCCGGAGTTTGCTGGATCATTCGCTGCCTTAGTTTTATCCGGTGTTGGAAGTGGTACGAGGGCATTCAGGGTCTGTTATGCAAAAAAACATAAAAAGTTAAAATATAACATAAATACAATAGAATCAACTGAGGATAATTATGATTCCTGTAATGGGCGAGGGGTGTTGGAGTGGAGCTGGCCAATGACCCCCACTGGTGTTACCCCTTGACTGTGCTGATAATATCTCCAGTTACTGGCTTAATAGTAATGGGTACGAAATAGTCCTTTCCAAAATGTCAATCAAACTTAACAACTGACCAATCAGAACATCTCTAAGAAAACGCACTACAAACATACGTATGTTTGTGCTTTTTTGTGGGACATTAGCAACAATATATAGCGGAAAGGTCCATTGAAACATATCCTTCCAATATGGTGTCAAAATACAGTAATACTATATCAAGCTCTTAATATTGGATTTGAAATAATGTGTAAGTGCATGTATACAGCGGTGGTGCCAGAACTTCGCTGGCAAGGGGTCCGACGGCCCAGAATAAAAACTCCCTTGTAGGGTTCACGGGTATAGTTTTTATGGCTTAATACAGTCCAAAATGTGCTTTTAGACCATAATATTAGGAAATGGTAGTCAAAACAACGTTATTTAGATAGGCAAGTTATATTTCCCCCATTTTTGATCTGACGGCCTCGTTGTGCATCTTACTAAAGGGCGTCTAGTCTTGTCCCCCAGCCCCACCACTGCATGTTTACACACCTAGATTTGCTTGCTTGCAATGATCCATTATTACTTAATGAATAAACATTAAAGAGTGAGTGCTACCCACGTTGAGCTGTTCTTGCATAATGGTCTTGCCCATTTGACTCTTCATCCCTTTGATTTTCGTAAAGGATTCTGTAAATGATTCTGAAGGTATGTGTGTAGGTTCACAAAAAAAACATTCCAAAATAGCCTCATAGATAAATATATACTGATCCTGAAATAAGAAATGCTCTAGTTAGAACCATGGTCAAAGATATTATTATAAACAATATGTTTTCAGTTTTTGTTATACAAGACCATCATTGTTCTATTTTAGAATACAGGTCTCCTTCTAAGGCTTTAGCAGCTTGGGTCCAAATTCAATAATAAAGCTAAAAGACTTTTGTTCACATGTAACCACAGAAATAATAATAGGCCTAATATAGAAATTTAAATAGCGCCTTTTGCCAAAGGATACAAGGCGCTAAGAAAAAGGTTTATTGTACGAAAAAGGATTATTTAGGAAATAAGTGTGCTTTTCTTTTTTAAAGACTTCAGTACTACAAGCATTTCGGATGAAAACGGGAAGATTATTCCACAATTTTGGAGCAGAGGAAAAGAAAGATTTATCACCAACAAGTTGGTTGGATTTGAGAACAAAAAGACAGGAACCAGAAACAGAAAGGAGAGAATAGGTAGAAGTTAAGAAAATTGACAGGCAGGAGATATAACTAGGATTGAAGACAATGACAATGTTTGGGTCTGCAACATGCAAGGTGAGCACACTTATTTTGAAGTTTCTGAATACAACCTAAATTATATTTACTGATACCATAAAGTAGTGAGTTTCAGTAATCAAGCCTGGAGAGTAATTGAGCACGAACTACATTATGACAGGTTTCAAATTCAAGAAAAGTGGTCTTTAATTGGAGGTAGTCTTTATATTGGAGGGGGTCTTTAATTATTGTAGTAGTAGTAGTTCTTAATTGCATTTTGATGTTTTCCAATATCGTGTGATAATTACCCTAGCGGCAACAGTGGCGGTGCTAGAGGGAGGGGGATTCCCAGTAGTTGAAATTATGAGCGATTCTTAAAAAATATTTTAAACCATTAGTATCAAATCCTGGCCTGAACTTTATAGGCCTATATAAAAAATAATGTTTTGGATGCCGATGAAATATTAATTAAAAAAAAACACCATCAACCGACATGTTGTCTTTTACAAAGTCTGTAGGCTACCATTATCGCTACAACCTAGAAGTGTTTTTCAGGGCAGCTAAAATAATTACAAAAGTAAGAAAATATGACTCAAGTACGCAAGCCCTGTAAAACTTGAACTGGAATAAACTTGAAGACCAATTGTATTGAAATGAGGCTATTACATTGTATAAGATATTCCATAATCAAGCACCACCATACATTATTTACTCCTAAGGAAGAAAAATACCATACAAGATCTAATGATGTCTTGTGCTTGGAAAAACCCAAAACGGAGTACAAAAACCGAAGTTTTTCATATCGTGGTGCCAAATTATGGAATAATCTTGAAAGTGCAGTTCAAAATGCACCAAATGTTTATTCATTTAAACAGTTATTACCCAGTGGTGTAAGGTTTTGAATTTGTTTGTTTACTTTTATAAAAATTGTTTGGTAAATGGTGTTTCTTTTTAGTATTTTATCAATATCACAGCCTTGTAGAAGAACACCTTGGGATGATACAAGCTTTTCCGTGTTTAAACAAAGCCTTTATTATTATTACTGTATTATTATTATTTAGCATTACCGAACAACTTTCTTAGGTCAAGATGCCCTGTAAGAGCATCTAGTGGTGTACCGGTGGTATTATTTCTAAATATTTTCTCATTTGGGAGGGGAACCCCCTCCAAACCCTCCCTGGCTCAGGCCTCGCGTGGCGCTAGGAGCCAAAGTAAAACTCTAGCACTTCTGCCGGAGAAATCCTAGCTGTGCCACTGGTCCACAACATAAACTAAGTAAACAATTATAAAATTAGATAAATAAAAAATTGACGTGATTCTATATAATTATTATGTGCAATCTATGCTGATGATGGTATAAGTTGATGATACCTTGGTTTGCACCATGTTAAACCGATTATTTCGCATGACTTTCACAAAGTTAAAAACGTCGATCTCTCTCTTCTCCTTGGCCATGTCCAACATTACATCAATTGTGATCACAGTTCCAGTTCTTCCAACTCCAGCACTTCAATTAGAAAGTGTTTATTAATATACTCAAAAGTAAACATAAGTTAAAAAGTAACTTTTATCTCTAGGTTATTTTGTTAAATGTTAAATAGCATGGTTTAAGGATTTTAAATGCAATTAAGAGATATACCATTTTTAATAATGTTGTTGTGACTTCAAAACAAGAAACCAATATTACCTGCAATGAACTATAATTGGTCCAGTATCAGCGGAAAGAATTTTCTTAGAGTTTTTGATTCGGTAAACGAACTCCAGCAAAGGAGCTGGTGAGGCTGGCACGTCCATATCAGGCCATGCAGTAAAATGGTATTGTAGTACATGACGTATTTCTGCCTCTTCACCTGCTCCCTAAATTATTTAAACAAGGTAATTGAACTAAAATGTATTGAAAAGAGTGGAAACGTGCGATATAGATAAGATAAGATAACTTTCTTATAAGTCAATCGTGACGTCATCACTGTAACTCTCAATGTTATTTGCCTATTCCCTAGCATCCACTAATTTTTATATTAGTGGACGCTTGGCTTGATTTTTTTTAGGTTCGTGTGCAAAAAAAAAAAATTCTCATTTTTTTGTCACCACGAATCATAGAGCTATTAAACAACTAGAGTGCTGACAAGACGGCGCAGCAATGCAGAGTTATGTATGTGTACCATCCAAGATGGCCGTCGTAGTAAAGCGCCATCTTCAGGCTTAGTATACATATTATTACCATAGAGCTATTAAACAACTAGAGTGCTGACAAGATGGCGAAGCAATGCAGAGTTATGTATGTGTACCATCCAAGATGGCTGCCATAGGAAAGCGCCACCTTCAGGCTTAGTATACATATTATTACCATAAATAAGCCCTCTGACTATTATTTCATTTAATGATAATTAGTATTGTTAATAACAAATTATTAAACTATCGTAGCCAAAAAGAGGCCAAGTAGAGCATCTTATTCAAAATAAAATAATAAATAAAATCGTGTACATTACACCCATTCACCGCAACGCTCGAGTTTCAAACATACGGGTAACTTGCTGTACTGAACTTTCGGTGTAAATTGATAGTGCTTAGGCGAAATTTGATTGGCTGAATCTATGGCAGCCATCTTGGATGGTACACACACACAGCTCTGCGTATTTTGAACATCGAATACATTGCAGTTAGCGCTCTATCTAGTATTCTTATTATATCTCTATGATTCAGATTAATAAGCCCTCTGACTGACTATTATTTCATTAATGATAATGAGTCATGGTAATAACAAATTATTAAATTATTGTAGCCAAAATGAGGCCAAGTGGAGCATCATATTCAAAAATAAAGTATTAAGGAATGAAAATTAAAATCGTGTACACTACACCCAAACACCGCAACGCTCGAGCTTCAAACATACGGGTAACTAGCTGTACTGAACTTTCGGTGTAAATTGAGGGCGCAATTGCAAAAGATGGTGCTTAGCGAAATTTGATTGGCTAAATCTATGGCAGCCATCTTGGATGGTACACACACAGTTCTGCGTATTTCGGACATCGAATACATTGCGGTTAGCGCGCTAGTATTCTTATTATATCTCTATGCCACGAATACATCGTGCACAGCGATAACAAATGAATTGTAATTGAAAATTACTTTCGTAAAACAAGCTTAATTAGAACCCGAAGAAAGTTACTTCAAATTCAATATTAAGTATGAACAATTAAGGAATTCATTGAATCAATGGACCCTCATAAACACAACAAACTGAACGTTTAATAGGAATATTCTAGACCTATTTTAAAGAATCAACGAAAAAGTTTACATGCAGGCCTACGGCCAGGCAGAAGGCCGCCCCCTACCGTTGTACTAGGCCGTAGCCTAGCCTAGTTGTGAGATCATCGCAAGATTTTACCTGTCTGCATGTGCACCGACCAAAAAGGACGTCAGTGGCGGCGCTAATGCACTTTCGCACCTAACTTTTAATTCTTAATTTTTTTACCTGAATTTTCTTCTCACAGTCACAACACATAATTATAAAACATTTTTACATGATTCAACCACTCATAAAGTACATTTTTTCAACAAAAAGATACCTTTATAAATATAGGTTGATACAGGGTTTCCGCGCTTGCTAGCACGACGAGCTGTACTTTTTTTGCAATCAAGTAAGAAATTGCCAGAATGTCCGAGTCAATTTTCAAATTTTGAAACCATTAAAGGCCAGTCTTAATTTTAATTGTAATTTTCCCATGAAACATCCGACAACAAAATGTGGCATCATGCAGTACCATCTTTTTGAACTTTCTTGTCGTAATCGAGGTTATCGAACCGACGTTTATCATAATAGTTGTTTTTCTGGATTTAGGTCTAGGCCTATTTTTCGATCTGTGTACGCATTTGGATCATTACTAATTTTTGAAGTAATTATTTCATGTGAACACACATAGTCAAACAACAGCACCATACAATATAAAGAATGACATACTGTACAATACGGCAAATAGATACGTTTTCATAAACGTTTAATCAAAAAACTTCACGCTGCAAACTCAGACATTCTGGCAATTTCTTACTGATTGCAAAATGGCAGCCGCTCGTCGTGCTAGTGAAGAACACAGATTCGCTGTACTTATTTGTGGGCTTATTTGTTGAAAAAGGTACTTCAGGTGAAAATGTTTGTTAATTATATGTTGTGACTGTGAGAAGAAGGTTGAAGTAAAAAAAATAAGAATTAAACGTTAGGTGCGAAAGTGCATTAGCGCGGCGTCAGTGACTGTATTCTCTCTCGAATGCTGAAATATTCATTTCTTTGACGAAAGCCTATCAAAATAGCATTACAAACAAGTTCTTTCTAACACAATTGTCATTCATCGTATCCGTACTGTACTCCTGATATGTAGCAAAGATACTAGAAATACAAGACAGAGTTCTCCACACAAAAAAATGTTCCACCGAAATGCATGGTGGGAATACAAACAATGGGACGCCCCCTACAGCTGGATCTAAAAAAAACTTCTGCCAAAACATTCGTTACCAAGTCGTCGCGTATTTTATTATCAATTCTCAATTAAAAAATTGTACACCGCGATGCGCTATGGCGACGTACGGTATTGATGGCGTTGCTGTGCAGTAAATTGCAACACATCAGTACAAACAGGGTCATAATTTATATCGATTTCCAAAGGGAGGTAAAATATTGCACTGACATTAAACAAAAAATTAGCTATATATATTTTATATATATATATTTTTTTTAAATACTTTTTTAACCGGGAATTGATTATATAGGCCTACAGTAATTACATAAACTCGTGTTGTAAATAAATTTTAAGTGAATGCACATTGTTTTAAAACTACATATATGCAGTTCTAATTTGTGATTAAAAAATATATACTGTATCAGAGCTGTATTCAATGTCAATAATAATGGGTTGGAAAAGCATTGAAATCCTGAGCTAATAGGCCTACCAATAGTATGGATCAATAAAGCACAAGAATTCATAATGATGACTGTATTTTGCACTTCTTTACCGACGTCCCGTACCGGTATTATGAGTTTTTACCAATCCCTTTGTATTTACTAGATATAAAAACAAACTGGAATAGACACCCAGACAGTGACATCGGTGAATACATAACTTCCTTGGTGGCGGTAGAAATCGTTGCTATTATCCAAATAAAATACAAAACAATTAAAGCATAATCATGAATCGGTAAAGAATAAAACAACAATACAGCAATACAGCGCAGAATCGTATGGCCGGACGCAAAGGAAGGGCGCCTTTTGTGTCTGGATATACTTAGCAACAGAAGGACGCCCTGTATGTGGGGCACGAAGTATAGAAAACTTGCATGGTTAAAAAGAAGGGCGTCGCCTACGTTGGGCACGATTTCTGCCTCATTTTTACAATGCGAGTGCTCTATCTTGTATGTAGTTTATTGAACGCGTACTGCAGGAGCAAAAATCAGCATACGCACAGCTAAATTTATATACGCACACATATACTGATCATATCGCTATAGCTATAGCTATATAACAGTTGGTTATAAAGAACTAAAATTAAAAGACGACGATTGACTTATAAAGCAACTAGTAGAGCATGCATCGTACACTAAATGGAAAATTATTATACTTAGGTTAGTTTTAATGCATTCCAAAAATTTCCTTCGGGCCTTGCAGGCCCTCAGGAAATTTTTTCAAGCATTAAATCTAACCTTCGTACAATAATTTTCCTATAGTGTACTATGCGGAGCTCTACTAATTGCTTATTAGAGAACATTATGGTAATAAATACATTTAAACCATTTGTTTCTAAAATATGGTTGATATGTGTAATGCTTTACCATTAGTATCTGAAATGTTCTGATGGTAAAATATCTGTTTGTCTCTTCACCAACATTTTGAACAGTAATATCACCATACGCCAGTCCTTCATTTGCATTAGGCCAGTACTGTTCACATTTTATCTGCCAAAATAATACAATAAACATATTATACTAAGATTTGTTTAATTTAATCATATAATTTAAATTGGTTGAGTTTTGTTATGCACCAACCGGGCCGCAAGTCTATTAAAGGAGCTCTCTAGGGCCAGGGGCCCTTTGGCCTTCGTGACCCCTCTAGGATCCCGGTCATCTCCCAACCCCACCTTTAAATAATATAACCACTGGATACAATATGATAATACAGTATGTCCTACATTTCGTACAGTATCAAGAAAGCCCTTTTGGGTCAAGGTGCTAGATCGAGGACCGTATGGTAGGGGCCCTTGGGGGTCCACTAAAACCGGTTTTTCACTAGGCAAATTTATTCGTGTGAATCGAAGGCGTTGGTCCGTTTCCTGAGCTCAGATTGGTTGTGCAACATTTTTCGCTTCGCAAAAAGCAGAAACAATTCGAACTACCAATTTAGCTGAAGCGAAAACTCCGCATTCACATTCCTATCGGAGTTTTTGCGGAGCGAAAAAAGTGCGCAACCAATCAGAGCTCAGGAAGCAAACCAACGCTTTGATTCGTGCAAATAAATTCGCCTAGTGGAAAACCAGCTTTATGCCACCGAAAAGGAGAGCTCCAAGCTTTGCTATCTTTCTCCATTTTTTTGCGGTTTTAATGTAGGCCTATTTGTTGTGTATACTGTGGTGACCCTTTTGATATGTTTTGGTATGTATTTTTTTTTTGTCAAGTTATTTGCTGGCTATCCCCATTCACATCAACACCAACGAGACCAACTGTCTAACGAACGCAGCCACCGTGCATTCGTTTCGCCCCACATTCCACATACCTGGTACTGGTATTTGTAATGGGTGCAGGTTAACTCGGCCACAAGTCAACTCGGCCACAGTCAACTCGGCCACAAGTCAACTCGGCCACAAGTTATTTAATGTAAATCTCTGTAGTTTTTGCATCCTTTTTCTTCAATATCATGATTAAAATAAAGTACAGTATATTTTAGTAAAACAGGACCGCCACACTACCAAAAGAGATTTGAATGCTATTGCCTATGAATTAAAAAGAGTTATTTATTAATGTGTTCGTCTTCTGTTTACTCACAACATTCTACTTCAACAATAATATTAAACAACAATAATGACAATAAATTAATAATATTTACTTTAATAATACTAATTAGTCATTATGACTATTATTAAGTAATAATAGGGTAATAATATCGATAATAAAGGTGACAACAACAACAACAATAATAATATTAATAATAATAATAATAATATGAGAAAAATACCAATAAAACACCAATAACAATAACTTTTTAAATTACTATTATTAAAATAATAATACTAAGACTAACAAATAATAATAATAATTATAATAATAATAAATCAAAAATTATTTATTATTTATATGGTACTGTAATAATAATATCAGCAAAAATTTGAACAATACCGTATATAATGTTAATACTAAGACTAATAATTAATATTAAAACTAACGGAAATAAAAACAACAATAACAACAATGACAACAATAATAACAGCAATAATAATAACAATAAGTATAGTAATATTAGTATTTTATACTTGATTAATTACTCCTTCAAATTGTAGTACCAGTAAATGACTTGTGGCCGAGTTGACCTGTGGCCGAGTTGACTTGTGGCCGAGTTGGCTTGTGGCCGAGTTGACTGTAGCCAAACTTTTTGTGGCCGAGTTGACTTGTGGCCGAGTTGACTTGTGGCCGAGTTAACTTGTGGCCGAGTTGACTGTGGCCGAGTTGACTTGTGGCCGAGTTGGATCGAATTCTTTGTAATGCATTGTAAAGCGTTTGTTTACCAACCAATTTGGTCAGCAAACCACGATCACTAAGGAATAAACTTGATGAATTCTTTATTACTTTAACTAAAAAAAACGTGGATATTGCTGTTATTTTCGAAACTTGGTCCAAGAATACCGACTATGACTTTGCACAAATTGATGGATTCTCTTTGATTTCTAGACATAGAAAATACATGTCTTGTCTTGTGGAGGGGTAGCCATATTCAGTTGTGACAAAAAAAAATGTAATGCCAACATTCCGGATAATATTGAAATTAAATGGATAAGTGTAGGCCCACTAGGTTGCGTATTTTTCTCTTTTATTTATTGCAAAGGGTATATTGTACCTACTCAATTCCGTGGACTTTATCCAATCTGCTTACCCTTGCCCTGGCATTGTTATTGCAGGCGACTTCAATCGAATAGAATATCAAGAGTAAATCAATGGTTCAAATTGTCAAACATGCTAATCGAGGATAGCAAAAGTAGCTTAGGGTAAAAATTTTGACATTTAGGAGCTTCAATGGCTTTAATAATATTCAATCGATTTTATGGTCTACTAATATATACAAAATACATTATTAATTGATTTCAAGGTCTACTAATGTGTACAAAATACGTATATATTTTTTTTTGTCCCCGACGAATTGTGGTTTTTCTCGCCCGACGAGGGGGAGGGGCCTAGCTTCGACCTTTGAATAAGTAACTATATATTTTTAATATACAAGTATATGAATTGATAAATTAAAAACGACGTAAATGGACAAATTAATTTTCAATACTGACAACTGATGTCAGAATGAGTTTTGGTGTTGATGTGATCAATGGAGTTTAGGTTTGCTTTTGTTCTTGATCTTGTCTGTATTTTTGTAATGACACTTTTTGATGTATTTAATATTTTCTCCTCAGGCAATGTAAATAATGTGCAATTTAGATCCGTCTACAATATATAGTTTAGGGCAATTCTGTTCCACAGTATAGTTTAATTTATGTTTTGATGGTCTTTTTCTATTTTTTATATTTTGTGACAAGAAAGTCACAATTTTTTTATATCGACTCATTACCTTTTAAATTTATAAAATACCCAGTTTTCAATATTATTTTATGATATGTATAAAAGTGTTTAATAATTAATATTTGTTGTTTCATAAACATGTGTAATGTAATGGCGTCAATATATTATATTCAATAGCTTATAATAGTTATAATAACCGTCAAATTGGTGATTTTGAAGTCATAGTTCTTATGTCTTATTTATTTCATACTTGCTTCAATTGGATCGATCATCCATACATTACGGCACTTTACAAATCTATTAAAAAAATGATTGGTAGATTTTGCACTATGAAGGTATTGTGGCAAGAAATTTCACAATTTTGGGGCAGCGATGGAAAAGGCCCTTTCATCTTTGTACGAGCTGATGAGATGAGTAAGTAGATCCTTTGTGGATGAACGGAGGGACCAGGATGGATTATAAGGGTTAACAAGTTCACAGATGTAAGATGGAGCCATACCAGCCTTAGCTTTGAATGTGAGGAGTAGTACCTTGTATTAAATCCTAAAGTGAACCGGTAGCCAGTGCAAATCAATAAGAATCGGTGTTATGTGTTCATATTTTTATTTATTTATTTATTTTTTAAATTTTTTAAAATTTTTGATCTAGAGGTGTCATAATCATAATTTTCTTTCCTCAGCCCCAACCATGGTGGGGCAGAGGTGATTTACTTTTTCAACATGCAAGTCCCTCCCTGTCCCCCCTCTAATTTGCCTTCCTGGAGCTGCCACTGATAATGATAAATTAAGTAAATCACCTTTATGTTTGTGAAATCAAAATGCTAACTAATGTTTTGTGTGCTCCCTATCTCCCTAGTCCTGTTTGATCATAAATTAGATGGTATTATTTCCATTCACAATAATTTATCGCAATATTACTTACACAAACGTGAAATTCAAAAAGAGGAGAAAAGCAAAAACCTCTTGATTGACTTTAAAAGTACTGTACATGCAAAAAGACTAAATTACTGACTGTTTTAAGTTTATCTTATTTGTTTTTCATAGTTCAAATTTTGAATACGTTACAAGCTAATCAGTAGATAATAAATCATTATTTTTATGAATGTTAGTTTGCACGAAATATATAAGCGGGCATAATTATGACTAAAAAGGATAATTTGAAAAACTTTTTATGAGTTGTATTTCAGTGGCAGACTCAAGGGTCCCAGCCGTCCCACCATCACTATTTTTTTTTTTCGAAATTTAAAAGTGGAGAAAAATAAAAATTATATTCAAATTCAGTCTGAGAGTGCCATTTCCGACCAACTGGAGATGCCATAATCATAAATTTTCTTACCTCAGCCCCAACCATGGTAGGGCTGAGGTGGTACGTAGTCCAGCTACACTCTCCATCTGTCAAAGTCCCTCTCTGGGCCCAGCTCTATTTCAAATTACTAGATCCGCCACTGGATATTTTAAAAATTTTGTATGGAAATAAATGTTAATTGCATTGCTTACAATCAATTTAAAGGCTATATGCGCCAGAGCTTCCAGGGCTTCGCCCCCTGGTCCCCAACCATTGCTTGGGCCTACGGCCCAAGGCTTTATTTTTCATCCCGTCCCCCCCCCCCCACTTTCGGCCATGGATCAACGCCCTTGTGCACGGCAGATGTTATTTACATGTGAACGCATATTTAAATGTTGACCAAAAGTGGCACCAAGGGTCCTAACATCAGACATAATTTCAACTTGAGAATCGCCAGCAGTTAATTAAGGGATATCCCTTGGAAAAACGTGACTTCACATGTAAAACAGCTGTTTTGCTTTCATTGAGTACTAAGAAATTGTCACGAATACATCTTTCCAGATTGTCTAGAGCCGCTAATTTTCCATTGGGCTTCAACGTAACATATAACTGTGTGTTGTCTGCATACATAATGCAGGATAGACCATGAGCTTTAACAATGTCTTAAATAGGAGATTAATATGCGATAAAAAATAATTGGACCAGATCCCTGTTGCTGGCACATCGCTCAATCACCTTCCCAAGAAAGGTTAAGATGGAAATAGTGCAGTAGTTCTTCATACGTTCGGAATCCAGATTTGGTCTCTTGAGAAGCGGTAGCACCAGTCACTTAAAAACAGGCCCTGTTTAAGAGACAGATTAGTGATATCGGTGATTGTTGGCAGAATAATATCCAGACATAATTTCACTGTAGATGCAGGCAGTGGATCCAGTTGACAAGATTTATTACCTGAGCACTTTATAACTTCATTCGGGGTCAGTTATTCAACTCTTATAAAATTGCTATGGCAGTTTTCGTCAAGGTCCACTGATAACTTCCGGGGCTCTGATATATGCAGAGCATGGCAAAGCTTATTTATTTTTCATGAAAGAAATTGAAAAACCTGTTAGCTAGATCCTTGTTGTCTGTATGTGAAGGTAGTACTTAGGTTGGATTATATATTAACAGTTTTTCAACAATTCGAAAAAGCTGCCTTTGGTCACATTAAGCAATGGCTTCCTGGTGGTATTTTCTTTTTGCCATGGCAAGAGATCGCTTGTATTCAGAACATAATTTATATAGTTGATTTCTGTCAGAGGATAAGCCCGATTTCTTATATTTCCGTTCAGCAGATCGCTTATTACGCTTCTTGGCCTGAAGATACTGGTCATACCATGGGGCAAGTGGGCGAACAAGCATGGTATGTGAGACCATAGGGGCATGTCTGTTAATGAATTCAGAGAGAACAGAGATTTTATTTTTTTGTAAGTTCATCTAAGCTCTCGTTCAGGGGGCATGATATCCGAAACGATGTGAGTATATCATTCTGGAATTCATCAATCAATTTCTTTCAGTTTTCTGAACTTAATTGTGCGTTGTGACGTTGGAGGTCGAATAAGAGTGACACTGAACTGAAGAGCGGCATGATCCGAGGGAAGACTGTTCGATACAGACACCTTACTGATGCAATTCTCTGTGTCACTTGTGACAAAAGGTCTAAAATGTGGCCTTTAATGTGTGTTGGTTCATTTATTAGAACTAAACCTGCAGAATATAGCATATTGTAAAAAAGGGTAATATTAAGCAGAAAAAGAAGGGGACCAAGTACACTTCCTTGGGGAACACCACATTGAGGTTCAGTGTCTTTAGAAAATGAATCAGAAATGGCAACTCTTCTTTTTTTTTTGTCCTACTGCACAACGAGTTCTGGCTGGTGGGGGGGGGGGAGAGGGAATGGGCTTGACCTGTCCTATAGGGGACAGGGTGTGATTTTAACAGGTGGAGGATGAAGACCATCTCAGCCCCAAAAAACAGCAAAGAACAAGCACTAAAAAACATGAAATTGGAACACCCTAAAAGTAAACCTAATGACTGTCGAGGGGACACTCTTATTACTGTTTGTTGGTGATTTCTTGGGGCAACTGTTGAGATCAATAATCACGACATTCACAAAATGTCTTAATCAGTTTTAATTATGTCCTCATGGGCTTAGCACACATGGATCACCTGGTTCAAGCCCGTACGGTTGTTATCTGTCTCCCTCTTTTTCTTTCCTCCCTTTTTCTGCGATCCTTATGCATAATTAGGCGCACGGCAGTGGCGTAGCTACGCCAGTGCAAAGCACTGGGGCCCAGGGCTATTAGGGCCCATTCATAAATAGACCTAAAAATAACTTCCAACTTAATATTTTATAGAAAAAAATGGCCAGAGGGCACCTCAATTATATTCGGTTTTTGGAGGAATAATTATTAATTACTGTGTTGATTTCAATTCAGTGGTGTATTCAATGATGCCCCAGCTGGCCCGGTCCCTACTTATTTTTTCAAAATTAAAAAAAAAAAAAATTTAGGGAAAAATGAAATTATTAAAATTTAAGCCTGAGCATGCCTTTTCCGGATCATAAATCATAAATTGTCTTACCTCAGCCCCAACCATGGTGGGGCTGAGATGGCCTTCATCTTCAACCTGCTAAAATCACTCCCTGACACCCATAGTGATTAAAATAATTTGGTTTTTATCGAAGGTAAATTTAGCTAGGGCCTAGTCTACTAATATTCTGGTAGGCCACGATGCTGCACAATTCAACGATCTAAAAACTACAAAAACACGACAGAAAGGTCCATAAAGTATACAGACGTTTTAATAAGAATTAGCACAATATTTTATTAAATTGGAGAATGCTAGCGATTAAAATAATTTGGTTTTCATCAAAGGTAAATTTAGTAGGGCCTAGTCTACTATTATTGCGGTAGACCACAATGCTGCACTGTTGGTTGGTTCATACTCTGTCTCTTATACACATCTAGATGTGTATAAGAGACAGGATATATGCAGAGCATGGCAATATAAGACTACAGTAGTGTACAAATTCAGTTTTTTTTACGAATACCCTTGGTACTAATAGGTTCGTAAAATAGACATTTTATTAAACAAGCCTTTCCACTGCGCGGATTTTTCAGTCTGGTTTTTCCTCAATTCCTGTTTAGTGACGTCGACGGTCTCGAAGCTGGCTGGCTGCTTTATCTGGCGCCAACTTAGCATTGGGGAAAATCGTATCATATTTCAAGATTTAGATAGGTGGGTTAACTTCGACGTGAACCAGGCTCCTGATTACTTACAGGTTTTTCACTGATTAATTACGTGTTTTTCTCTGATTACATACAAGTGTTTCACTGATTACTTACAAGTGTTTCACTGATTACTTGCTCGTGTTTCTCTGATCACTTAACGTGTGTTCACTAATTACTTACAGGTGTTTCTCGGATTACTCACGTGTGTTCACTGATTACTTACTGTATGTGTGTTTCACTGATTGCTTATTTGTGTTTGTCAATTGTTAAACCTCACCTTTCTTTTTTCAACTAAGTTGGTAACCATGATGATGATACCAGTTTTCTCTTGCCAAACCATTCTCCACATATCATTAACACTAGCTCCATTGGGACCTGAATTATTAAAAATTACTATTATTCAATAAATAATTAATTAAGAATTATAATTTTGAGTTATTCGTTACCAATGTACTCAAACAAAACGTAGGCATATGTAAAAACTACAGTATGTACATTGAGCTTAACATTACATTAAATGAAATTAAATTAATTACGTGTTTTTCTCTGATTACTTACAAGTGTTTCACTGATTACACAGTTAATATTTAAAAGTAAACATTAAAGTCTTAGAATTACTCTTTACCTACATTTAAAAAATGTTATCATTGAATGCATTCATTGCCTATGCAGTATTAACATGGAGATGTGTGCCTACATACCTTGAGATGCAATATACGTGTTATCATTATACTGCAAGAAAAAGAAATAATAAATTTCAAAATAAATTTGGAGTTGCGCTTTTGTAACTTGCATTTTAGCCCTCCAGCTAAAACACAAGGAGAGCAGCGATATGAATTGCACGATTCAGCCCACACAGTGGCTAGCACCTTTAACCTACTGTGGTGGGGCCCGCAGGAGGGGGATTTTCCTCCGTCGGACATGCCTCGTACCCCCTGTCGTCCGACGCCATGAGGATGTTGTCGGATAAAAAATTAAAAAAAAATTTGCCTATCCAAATAACTTTATTTTGATTGTCAATCCCAATTGTCTGAAAGCTCAATTTGGCTCCAAAAACTCTCCCGTAAACCTGATCATGGATTTTAAAAATCCGGGACCAGGATCGAGGGTCTAGTCGCTCTCTTGGTTCAGATCCCCCCATGGCCATGTCGGACTCCTTGTCAGCAAAATTCTGGAGCCACCGCTGGACCATTTTTGGGTGTCATTTGCAAATTCCATTGTGCGATTTTTGATGTGCTGGTTTTTCAATCATGTTTTTCATTGTTATTCTTCAACCCCATGGTTGGGGTTAAAGGAATACAATTTATAATTGTGACCTCTGGATGGTGGGAAATGGCACTCACAGACTTAAAATTGTGAATATAAATATCCTTTTATCTCAATTTAAACAGAATGGCACTCTTTAATCTGCCACACTTACAAAATGATATACAGTATGTCCTACAGTCGATGTCAGAGACAAATTATGCTGTTATGTATCAACAAAACCCTTTTTAGTCAGGGTGATAGACCAAGTAATCAATGGGTGGTGCCCTTTCATAGCCCTTAGGGGTCGGAGACCTTGTGGACCGCCGCACGAGAGTGCATAGGCGTTACGCCAATGAATATATGACAATTTAGGGCTTAAAGGCTAATTAACTGATTGTGGAATCTACTAATATGTAGAAAATACATGTAACTTTTTTTTTCTCCCAGACAAATAGTGGTTTTCTCCCCGACGGGAGGCCCTGCGCCAGGTCCTCCAATGGCGCCACCTATGGTTAAAAGTGATCTTTGAAATTTTTTGTTTAGAAATGCTTGACCATCCATAAACACTGGTACATGAAATTTAAAGCAAAAATCAGCTTGTTTTGGAGTACTGTACTGCCCTCTTTACCTTTCTTTTCTTTCTCTCTTTTTCTCTTTTTGAGGCCAAGTTTTCCTCTGGATCTGCCCTGGTACTATCCTACTGATGATTAACTTTTTTAAGATGATGATGATGATGATGATAATGATGATGATGATGATTATGACGAACACGGTGACAATGAAAAGGGTGAATATCAAAAACAGCCTAAATTTTACTTTTATATAGGAGGCGTTGATGTAGTCAGATTGATCACTGGAATCGACCAAAACAACACGCGAATGATCGTCTGTAATGAAAAGAGTTTTTGCTTTTATAATAATATGTACTACAACAAAAACAACAAATTAGCAAAAATAGCAACATAGAAATAATTATAACAAACCATATAATTTGTTTTTGATTTAGTTAGGAGTTACTTATTAGCAGTAGAATAACAATAGTTTTTTTTAACATATTGCAGACGGCACTTTACCACCAGCCTTTTACTCATATAGGCCTATTTGTACATTTAATAACTCACATGTAAGAATGTTAGCATATCTATTTTTAGTCCTGTTGATGTATTTCTTTGCCTCGGTACATGGATGTAATATGCTGCATCCCAGTTCCTAAATAAATGAGGAAAAGTTATTCTCAAAAACAAAGATTAAACTGTCAACAATACGGTTATTTTCCCACTTCGGAAAACCAACATATATAACTATTATTTGGTTAAAATTCATCGGCCTTTTTTAAAAGTTTCATTATTACAAGTTTTCTCTCAACATTTTTAGGCGCGATCTACAAATTATCCCCAACGACAGAAACGGGTCAAACACGTTTACTATTGTTATATGACAAGCTCCCAAACGCGTCTGTGAAATGCCGTTTGGAAGCTTGTCGTTCGAGCCGTTTATTCCGTTCCGACTAGCTTATTAATATTCATGAGGCACGATAATTAGACGATCGCTTTCCCAGACGCGTTTGTAATACATGGTTTTCCCAGACGCGTTTCTGTCGTTGGGGATAATTTGTAGATCGCGCCTTATTTTCTAAAGCTTTTGAGTGTGGATTATTCTAAATTTTGTGCATTTGATACTTGTCATTAAAAATGCATCTGTAGTGATAGTATTTATTTTATTCTAGAAAATATTTTGAGTTAAAACTCTTTAGCTGGAAACATAAACATTAAATTCTATAGCTGTAATTATTTATTTATTTATTTATTCTTTCTTTAGACTGCATGCCCTTTCAGTACTTGAGTACTGTTTTTCAAAGTGTTACCGTTACAAACAAACCATGAAATAGAAAGAAGATAATAAATTCAATGTAAAACTTTTTTTGTTTTTGTTTCGTTTGGAAGTCCTTTTACCTTGGCAGATATTCCAAGGTGGTACAATTAAATCATTATGTGTTTGGCTATGTGTGCATTTTGAATGTATATTGTGATTAAAATTAAATTTGGATGTTAGGTATGGAGGGGCATGACCTTTTAAATATTTAAATTTCAAAAGAGTTAACTGTTCATTCCATCTAACATTGAGTTTTCTTCAATCAAGGGAACTTGAAATATAATCATAAAAATAATTTCTTGTAAAATTAACTTATCAAGAAACACATTTATTTGTATTTTGGAATAAAGTATATAATAATAGTGAGTCATTGTCAATAAAACATTATTTTACATGATAAACTAATGTATTTTGAGAAGCCTTGATATCACTAGGCTCAATATTAAATAAATGGTCACAAGCTACATTTTTTCAGATTTGACAAATTAAGACTTAGTGGTAGTTGAACATGTGTCTATATTACAAATTTTAGTGATGTTCATGCACCACAGACCTTAATTATTGTGGTCACATTTTTGTCAATCCGCAAATTTCAAAAGACTTACTTCAAATTCTGTTTGGAAGTTTTCTGTTTTATGGCTGCAGCGTTTCCGAACATATTCGTGTAATTTATTCATACGTACTGGTTGGTAGGTGATTGGTTTCCGTTTCAGATTTTGTTTTGGTGTAGTTTTGGGAGAAATGTTCCTAAGTTCATTTGAATCTACAGGAAAAGAGACTTGTGAAAATGTAAATCAGACGATTTTGTTTAATGTACTTTTATTTCAATTGTTATTAAAAGCACAATGTAAAAAAAAAAACAATTGCAAAGTATATCAAATTGCATAATAAGCCATTAGCAGAGCTCCGCATAGTACACTATAGGAAAATTATTATATTATTATTATTATTATAATTATTATTATTATTATTAGTATTATTATTATTATTATTTAATGCTTGAAAAAATTTCCTGATGGCCTGCAAGGCCCGAAGGAAAATTTTGAATGCATTAAATCTAACCTAAGTATAATAATTTTCCACTAGTGTACGATGCATGCTCTACTAATTGCTTTATAAGTCAATCGCCGTCTTTTAGGTTTGGTTATAACCAACTGTGTTGTACCAGTCATCTGTTGTTAGAGTGATATGATCAGTATACTGTGTGCGTATTTATATTTTGTGCGTATGCTGATTTGTGCTCCTGCATTGTAGGCCTACGTGTTAACTACACATCAGCAGTACTGTACAGATACGATGAATAACTAGGCTATTTTGTAATTTGTATTGTGTTAGAAGAACTTGTTCGTAATTTTTCATATTCGTCAAAGTAATAAACATTTGTCAAAGCATTTGTGAGAGAATACAGTCACTGTCACTAACTTTTTGGTCGGTGCAGACAGGTAAAAATCTTGGGATGATTTCATAACTACGCAAGGCTATATGACCTAGGTTAGTAGTAGGAGGAGCCTCGGCGGCATGCTGCCTGGCCGTAGGCCTACATCTAATTTCGTTCCTTGAGTCTTTGAAATAGGTCTAGAATATTCCTATTAAATATTCAGTTTGTTTAGTTTATTAGGGTTCATTGATTCAAGGAATTGCTTAATTGTTCATACTTAATTAATTACTTAATTTAAAGTAACTTTCTTCAGGTTCTAATTAACCTTGTTATACAAAAGTAATTTTTAATTACAATTCAATTTTTATCGCGGTGCGCAATATCTTTTTTTTTTTTGCACACAAACTAAAAAAAAATCAAGCCAAGCGTCCACTAATTGAAAAATTAGTGGACGTTTGAAAAATTAGTGGACGGTGGGGAATAGGCAAATAACATTAGGAGTTGCAGTGATGACGTCACGATTGACTTATAATAAGGATTAGCCACTGTCTATTAAATACACTATCATTATTAAATTTATTGTGAGTTAATTGGCCGAGAAGTTAAGTCAGGGGCACCGTAACCTTCAGCTATACTACCGGCGCTGGTTCGAACGGCTCACTCGCCAATGGTTCCATTGGTGGAACAAGTCTTTTCGGATAAGGACTTTAAACCGTAGGCCCAGTGTACGCATTTGACTCGTGTGCACTTTAAAGAACCCAGTACATCCTTCTAGAAGAGCAGGGGGATATCCCGGTGTACTGGTCCATTAAGTCCCCCGGTTCCCCTGTTGCATAATGGATAATTATGTAACTTGGGACAGTGAATAAGTTCGCTTATTGACATATCCTTGGCACTCGTGCCTAAAGAAATGAAATAAAATTTTCCTGTTTTATTAATTTATTTAATGCAATAAACATCCCTTAAACGTGCACACATAAAATGAAAATGGTTTAGTTTTAGCAAGTTGAGACAGAAAACAAATTCCTGGATCTTCCTGCAGTACATGACATCTGAAACCCTTCAGTGATAGACTTATTGGTCATGTTTGCATTGAAGGATTTTTTTTTATCCTTCACTAATTCTGAATAAATTGAATATACTTACCAGAAGCAGTATTTGAAAATGTGTCTTCTCCAGTTACATTTTTAGCTTCTTTTCCAGAACGACTAAAAAGTAACATCATTTATTGTAAACCATATCAGAAAGTAGAAGGTTTCAGCGAATGAACAGAAACAACACAATGATACGTATAGAAGGCTGTATTGTAGGCCTACATGTATACTACAAAAACACAATTCGTATTTGTAGGAAAACAAAACACATACCGTCTTTGCAACAGCACAAATGAGATGATCAATATTATAATGAGAATACCAAATGGAATTGTAAGTCCGCTTATTAGTCCCGCTATTAAAAATAACAAGAAACAAAAACAATGTATTTATCAAAGTTATTTTTTATTTTTAAGTATAAATATAATAGGATTACTTCTGTGACTTCAGAAATTATATAAAGGGGATGTTGTATTTATTTTACCTCTAACTGATGTCTCCGTACTTGCTTTGTTCGCTTCTCCAACACCGGCAGAGTTAGCTGCGACAATCTAATATATACGCAAATATGTGAAAAATTATTTTCAATGACATAATAATGCGAGATAGGTCCTAATAATAATGAGGGTTTGCAAGAACGTGTGGAAAAAACGAGCTTATTATGACAGGTGGCACCAAAATGTATTCGAAGGGGCCCGCGTTTCTCCCACGGGGAGGGGTGGTGGAAGCACTTCCCCTGCATGTCTGCCACCACATACAGTAAAATGTGTGGAATGTTTGTGACATACTATCTCTACACGTACAGGGACGGCAGAACGTTTTTCAAAGTAGGTGGGGGGGGGGGCACTAGTCTGATGAATGGGAATAAAAATCAGGGTATCAATTCAGGAGGTGGGGGTCAAAAGTTTTCATAAAAAACCCAAGAAAGAGGGGGTCGGAGGTCCTTCCCCGGCCATCTAGGAATTTTTATTCCTAGATGGTAGGAAATCAGCTTTTCCAAATTTTGAGCTACTGTAGGTGTCTTTTAATGAATTTTATGTTCTTCAAATTCAAGGTTTCCCCCCTCTTGAAAACGGTCAGGTAAACTTTCTTATTCTCAGTAAATAGGCCTGTTATTTGTGTATACATATATATAAAAAATTGAGCAGTTGCATACGTGTTGTTTTTTCCATGAATCGATAAACCCCAAAGAGAAAGGGGTTCCGGAAAATTTTGTTTTCCTAGATGGTAGGAAATGAGCTTTACCGAGTTCTGAGGTGTCTTTTACTTTTAAGTTCTTCAAAATTCAAAGGTTTTCCCCTCTTTAAAACGATTCCCTGAATCAATGACCCCCAAAGGAAAAGGCGAGTTCGGATTCTTCCCGGGAAAATGATGATTTCTAAATGGCGAGAAATGAGCTTCTGAAGGGTCTTTTAATGAATTTTAAGTTCTTTAAAATTCAAGGTTTTTCCTCCTTGAAAACACAATTTTTTCTCATTCTTATTGCAGTAAATAGTCAGCTCATGGTTTCTGAAAAGGTAGGACTAGAATTCTTTTTTTATTTTAAATTGTTCTTTATTTTTTGCAAAAAGGAGGTCAGGAACTCTGACCCCCAGATCCACCTATGTGAACTGGGAGAAAATGTAACTGGGACTGGATATAGACATTCTACTGTATTTCACCTCCCTCTCCTCCTCCTTACCTCTTTCTTTTCTTGCATTCCTTTCCGATCATACAAAAATCTCCATAGACATTATATATTTTCTGCCAAATAGTGGGCCCCCTGGTTGCGCCGGCCATGACGTAAACATTCCTACGTCATATGCTGGCATTTGCATCAACTCACCTGAACTGTGTACTCAGTATTTGGTTTGACACCATCACCACTCGTAAACCTAATTTCTCTATCAGACCCGCTTGCATTTTTCTTTTTTACGACCTTATCTTTTGACTTCAATGTCACTGTATACATAAGTATTGGACAATCATTATCGGTTGGAGCATTCCAATTTACTGTTACACTTTCCTTTTCAGAGGCGACGCTAATAATTTTAGGTTCTCCTGGCTCTAGATGAAAATAATAATTGATTGTTAGCCTAAGCCTACTTGAATTTACTTTACTTTGTGTTACTGGACGTGGAAAAGGCGTATAAAGTGTCAATTTGATTATTTTATTCATTATGACGTAATTCCTCAACTTGTTAGTGTGTTGGGCGTAAAGTCATTATATTGGTATTTATATACGTATTTCTCATGTATTTTAAGGTGAGGTAAAACATTCCTTTTCTTCACAACAAAGAATTCAAATAGGCCTACATTACATTTCTGAGAAAATATACTTGATAACGATATAGAAATTTACAGAGTGCCTATTATTAGAGATGGATGGGAGGTTGAAACAGTTATATGATTCTTCGTCATGTCTGAAGGGAAAAGTAACTTTTCTTACCCTCAGTGCCACTGGTAAGGTTTAGGCTCGAGATGGGCCCATTGAGATTGTAGTTTCTGCCGTAGACTTCAAATGTGTAGTTATTGCATGGTTCTATACTATGATCTATAGTCACAGTGATTGATTTTGTGTTTTGCTGTATAAGCAAATTATCGGGACCACTCAATGAGTACTGGTATACTGTATCACCATTACGCTGACCGCATGGGATATCCGACCATGATAAAGTCAATGACCTTGGCTTCTGATCTGAAACATTATCTATCTGAGGTGCTGAATCTGGAGCTGATTGATAAAGATAGTTTGATAAATTATAGAATAACTTATTATTGCCAATCATAAGACTTCAAATGTTTCCTCGTGCCATAAATGGTGGGACCGTAAGATAATGCCAAGTTTTGATGAAAATAAAAGGTTATTGAATATGTATTTAATAAAAAAAGAGAAAGAAATGGGTCTTATACATATGAAAATCAAAATAATAATAAGCCTTAAAAATAATAAATTCAAGTTTTTGGTTGTGTTTCTATCTACCGTAAAGTCAATCTTCATCGTTGGGATAATGAAAGATTATAGAAAGAGTGCCCCATTTGTACCCCATAGCCTTCTACATACCAACCTGCAATTTTTGTAGTTTCTTGTTTCACTGAGTCATTGCCTGTAAAGTCACCGGTTGAAGGTAATATTAATATTTCATAAGTAGAATATGGTTCCAAAGAACTTAAACTGCAAAAAGGTTTTGTTGTAGCGTTTAAAGCACTTTTGAATTCTGTGTAATTGAACGGTTCACATTGGTCTCGATTGGTCAGACGGTAGCTTACACCATACACAACAGAACAATTCCCATTTTCAACAATGTCCCAAGTCACATTTATTTGTTCGTATGAGACACCATCTACTTCGATATTTTCCACAGGATCTGGAGCTGTAATTATGTAAATGAATGTGTTATACTGTACTTTATTTAAGTTTTAAAAAGTAGTACAGCCAGTCAGTGTGTACTTTGCATTAAACACGCAAAAGCGTCTGTAAGGCATTTGTAAGTACAACTGTATGTTCAGCGAGATGAAGTTATTCTGAAATCAGATTATCTGCCTCTGCCGCCAAAACTCTGAATTTGTAGGTTTTGCGTATTATACGCGAAAACTCCAAAATTAGGCTAACCGTTAGGTACCGGTAGAAACACATACTTAATAATGACTCCTAATTTAATAATTAAATAATAATGAATGAAAATAAGGAAAAAACAAATATACGATGACAATTGATGTAAACCTTTTTCTGAAGTTGCAATGTTCACGGTTGCGTACGGTCCATTCCCCTTTGACGTTTTAGCAGTTATCTCAAAGGTGTAAAATGTGCATTGAAGAAGATCAGCAAATGTTTTGCTTGTATCTGTGAAATTTGTTTTGTCTTCAATTTCCATTCTATCCACAAACAGTTTGTAATCATATATTACAACACCTTTTCTTTCGCCGCATATTGGCTGATCCCACGAAATTGAAACCGAGTCAAAACCAATGGACAATATCTGAAGAGATGTTGGTGGACCAGTTGGAACTAAACCAAAATAAGAAACTTGTAAATTCATAATAACGTAATCATAAAAATTACAGGCTGAACATTTATTAAGTTTTGCAGTGCTTTTAAAATAAACCTTTAATGTAATATTTATGTACTTCGAAAATACATAGGCCTATGTTGTTATTAAAGAGGTTTAACAAATTATATTTGGTGGCACTGCTCAGTGGCGACCAGGACTGATTTTTTCTGGGTGACTTCGATGTATATTTTGTATATTATTCTGTATTGTGCGTAAGAGTACTGGTAGTAATATTGAGTCTGTTTCAATATGCTTTTCAAACATTACTATTTGGTTACAGTAATTCTGTATGTTGCATGTACTAAGAAGCCATGTGTTCTAGCAGCAGCTAGCTTAGGCTCAGGCGATAGACCTACAGCCAGGATAACATACAGCAGGGAAAC